TTTAGCATTTAGGGTTTAGGGATCTTGGATTTAGGGTTTAGGGTTTGAGGGATTTGGATTTAGGGTTTAGGGTTTAAGGGATTTGGATTTAGGGTGTAGGATTTAAGGGGTTTTGGATTTAGGGTTCAGGGTTTAAGGGTTTTGGATTTAGGGTTTAGGGTTTGGGGGTCTTGGATTTAGGGTTTAGGGGTCTTGGATTTAGGGTTTAGGGTTTGGGGGTTTTGGATGTAGGGTTTAGGTTTTAAGGGTTTTGGATGTAGGGTTTAGGCTTTAGGGGTTTTGGATTCAGGGTTTAGAGTTTAAAGGTTTTGGATTTAGGGTTTAGGGTTGTGGGGATTAGCATTTAGGGTTTAGGGGTCTTGGATTTAGGGTTTATGGTTTGGGGGTTTTGGATGTAGGGTTTAGGGTTTAAGGGTCTTGCATTTAGGGTTTTGGGTTTAGGGGTTTTGGATGCTGCCCAAAGCTAGCCGTCAAGATGGCCCTTTTGGCCCATGTTGCGGAACCTGATCCTGCCCCTTTACCTTCTGTACAACCGCACCACAAGGGAAAGAATCCTTCTGAATCGCATACAAGAAGCCAAAGACATACATGATGAGAAAGAGAAGAAGCAAAGCCCAGAACAGCGACCGGAGCGTATCTACCAGGGAGGAAACAAGCGTCCGCAGGGCACCGACAAAGCGAATGACCCATACAGTTCGCAAGATCCGAAGCAGCCTGGATGCACGGATGATGCGAACAATCCGTATACTGGAACTCACTCCAGTATCGGCAGCATCCTCGTAAAGGAAATCAAGTGCAATCACAGTCCAAGAGGAGAAGACCACGGACATGTCCAGCCAATTCCAAGCCCAGTCTAGACCGCACACGTACTGCCGTGGCCCAGCAGCTGTAAAACGCAACACCACTTCAAAAGAAAAAATGATCGCATACGTCAGGTGCACAGCCAAGGTCGCAGGCTGTGGTCCTGGAGGAGTGGTAGGGTCGATGCTCTCTACCTGTATCCCTAGATAAATTGCATTCGAAATGATGACCATGGCGAAGAAAATGTCGAAGGAGTGCGTATTTACCAGCGCAGTGACCGCTGCCCGCGCCCTGGACAATGTGCTGCACCCTTGCCGTGCTTCGCTGGACCGCTTCTTGATTTGCAACTTCTTGCGAAAATCCAAACGAGATCCCATGGACTTCGCAATTTGATAGGTCGTGGAGGGGAGCGCTTGAACCGATTCTCTGTCAGACAGTGACTGCCTTCCCGGCGCATCGGCACGCTCGCTGGAAGGGGCTGGTGCTGTAGGTGCTGAGGAAACTTTGCACTCACCGAGATCCAACTCCAGCTCCAGGAGCCGCGACTCAATCTCAGTTTCAAGGTCACTGAACCATGAGCGGACCTGAACTAACAAGTCCTCGCGCCGCCGGCGAAGCACTTCATCTACCAACTCCACAACTGTGGCATGGGGCATTTCTCTACAAATCCGGCCCCAAAATCCACAAGCTCATGCTCAAGAACCATCAGGCCTGCAGGCAAGGCATCACGACATAGCAGTTCCAACGCTGAACATCATTGCAAGCATGGCTAGAGCTGCAGGCGCGGTCACCTCCAGCCGGGCGCATTTCTGCGGCCACCTAACAATGCAAACAAGGATGCATCAACATCCACGGCTCTCCGGATGTTCTCCAGGTCCCTAGCCACTCCGGCCACTGGGACATCGGGAGCAACCGCTCGACCCATGCCACCTGAGACGCAGCAACAAGCTGGAAAGCACTACGGGATCAATAGGACCTCCAAGAACCCACTCCATGAGGCCGTAGCTATGGAGTTAAAGCTCCAGCTTCCACGCATGGCGCCGTGGTGCGTCGTGTCCTAACCGTCCTAACCCTGCTACTGGATGACCTCTCCTGCACGTCCCTGCCGCAACTCTGTCGCGTTTTCCAATCTACTGGCTGCCTTAAACTCGTGATCACAGAAACTGGCTATGCCCTTTAAATGCCTTTAACCCTCTACAGTTCGGTCTGCATAATAGTGCTGAGGCTTCTTGATGCTGCATTGCCTTTTGTTGCTCAACAACTTCTCCACACCTCGCCGGGACCGCACAGATTTTGGATTTTGGCCTGGTCCAGCGGCGCCATTTCGCGCAGCAGTCGCTATCCACACTATGCTGGACCGGCAGACCCCTGTTGGGGTTCACTGTGGACAGGGGTCCCGATGATAGATGAAAAAGAGCTGGACAAAGAAGTGATCTGATTCAAAATGGGGCTCCCCCTCAGCCGTGGCCACAAAGACTTTGGCGGACAGCACGGCAGCCACTGGCACAGCTCTTCAAAAGGTCAGTTCAAATGAGAGCAAGGATGAAGCAAAGCAAGGTTGCCCAGGCTTCAGCTTTGACAAACTGAAAAGCATCTTGTGGCTTAAGAGCACGAACTGTGCGCTGGAACTAACTAATCATGCACTGCCCAGAAAGAAAAGAATGGTGCCTTGGCTGCATGGACATACGCAAGCATTGTAACACACTTCACGAGAGTTACAGTGCAAGCTAGGCACAGCTCATTTGAGTTGCAACTTCGCAAAGATGGGCCGGTGGTCGCTGTGCGCGGCATCGCCAGTACCGTGACTGCGTAGCTCCCAGTGATGAGAATAGAAGATGCAGTCCACCCAAGCGTTCTCAGCCTTCAACCACGAAAGTGCTATGTGTATTATAAGTCCATATGCTGCATGAACTAGCAAATCCCCGTCTTGGCAACGTCAAGAGTCAAGGACGAATTGCCGTCTTAGCAAGATTTGCTAGCTAGGTCAAGAAATGGTCATCCTGCTGAATCGAAAAATCACGCTAGGTGATTCCTGCTGTGACAGCACAAAAAATTGCATTAAACGCAACTGGAGAAGCCAATTCAAAGCCGTTGGCGAGGAAGTGTTGAGGGCCTCTCTCCTCAAGTCTCGCCTGCAGCCCATGCGCTTGTGCCAACTGTGCGAGCGCCTGTGCGAGCGCTTGCAGTCATGCTTGCACCACTCAGATGCAGACATTGAAGTCCCCAGTGATGACCACTGGCAGGTCAGCGGCCTGTGGTTCAAGCATGCTGCAACGCAGGTCGCAACCTCACATCCGTCTATTCCAGCATAACGCCAGCGCAGCCTTCTCCTTGATGACCTGAGCACTGCTTCAAACTCACAACATCGCCTATGAGCACACGGTGCTTCATGCCGGAGAAGGTAAGGACATGACGTCCAACATGTTCTGTGCACCACGATAACGCACGTCTTCGTTGCAAACACGGCCATTCCCGTTATGCACACACCTGATTTGCAAACTGTCGTTGGAGGCTGTTGCCGCAACAAGCACCACGCAGTCCCGCATTCAAGGCCGCTGAGGCACCAGTGCGTGTTGAAATGCCAGAAAGTTCTACCGCTCTTCTCATCCATCAATTCCACCCAGGTCACATAACGTGGACCCCACTTGCCAGTTGCCTGGACATGTCTTATCATGTCATGTCACGTGGTGGCAGCGCGACCGTCCCAGCCTGCAAATCCCGGGATCCAGCGTCGCCTGTCTTGAAAAGGCCTCAAACATGTCAGCCACATGCGCGCAAAATCTGCTTTTGCGCATGACCAACTTTCAGGCAAAGGCCTGGCTTCACCATGATGCCCTGTGCGCCGTCAAACTTCGAAGCTCGTTGGAGGCCGGCCCCGTTTCCGACTCGTCCAGGTTCGTCACACTCCTCGCAAGTGCAGCGTGCCTTCTTCAAATAACCACCTACAATGGAAACAAGCCCTGGGTTGTTTCTTCGATGACTGCAACTACTTGTGGCCTGCAGGCCGATCGAGTCCGGTTTCAAGTTGTTCTTGATGTTGCGAATGATGTGGTCGCTCTTCCTCAGGAACCAAAGAAACGTTCTCTTGGAGGAATTCAACTCTGCAGAAAACATTTCTCAACTCACTGTCAGAACTGAGTCACCAAGGATTCTGACCAAAAGCGTTCCACCAGAACAGGTTGTATGACACCACCGTGACCACCAAAGGCTGGTCGCCTTCCCCTCCTCCGCCTCCCCCGCCTCCTCCGCCTGACAATCTTGGCATCAAGCTGTAGAAGCGTCTGTTCAGGCGCTTGCTCAAGAGTCCCAGTGCCTGACCAAGGGGGTCCAGGGACCCCATCGCTTCCACACGGCTTCTTGAAGAAGCTTTTGCAGTCTTCATGTCGTTGGGCATCCTCCATTCCAGAGAGAGTGCGATCCTGCCAGGGGGTTTGGTTTCTTGCGGTTCCAGAAGCCGCAGGCGGGCTTAGCATGGTAGTCTTACAGCTGCCTTGAGAAAGCAAACCCCCCATTTTCTGCAAAACGTCACGCTCTTGCAAGCATCATTGCCATTGCAGCTACCTGACGGAGAATGACGGAGAGATATGTTGGAAGACCAAGCTCGCAGGATCTTGGGTATCAAGAAAACTGAGTCAGGCCCAGGCACTTTCGCACTCCTTCAAGGATGTGGTTTCAAGCTGGCCGACCTCGTTCCCTTCTTCCTTCACGAGACCTCCAACTCCATCCCAACACACCTGGACCAACAGAAAGATGAAACAACTTCGACATTCTACCCTCCACTGGGAAAAGAGACGCTGGCCTCACTCTCCCTTTCGCAGGTGCAAAGCATGTCAGATGTTCCCGAAATCTCCTCATCACATCTCTTCTGCTCCTCCGTCCAAGGACTGCAGTAGTCTGTAGAAGCATCTAACCCTTCCAGAAATCTCCACGGCTGTTCAGCTGTTTAGCTCTTATCGTTCAGGCTTGCAGCCTTGTCTGCCCTGGGACATGACTGGAAATGCACGACAGCCTCGGTACATTCACACATACATCCCACAGCCAACAAGGCCTAGAGCCCAATCCTGCTCTTCACAGCTGTCCGCTTTCTCTTCCGCTGCAGCAACGCATTTGTGGCCAAAGCTGGCACAGTATGTGTCACATACACCTCGCGAGCAACCAGCGAACTGAGTCGAAGAAGGCCAACCCAACGAAAAGAAAAAAAAACACAAAAAAAAGGCTTTGCCTCCGTATGGTGCTGTTTGTACCAGTGCACGACAGCCGCCGCAGGTGACACCATTGTCAACATGAGGCCATTCCTGCTTTCAAAGCTGACGCGGCAAACATGCGGCAAGTGCAGCTCTAGGCTTTGACGAGGACTTGGTACGTCCTCGAAGGGTGCACACGAAGATGTCTGCGCGGTAGAAACAGTCCTCAACGACATCTGAAGCGGCCATCGGCTGCTTGCCATCAAAAAAGGCTTGGCTCCGTGCGAAAGCACATCTGGCTGTCGTACACGAGACCCATACCTTGAAAGCTTCAGGTTGACAGCACGAACGTAAAACATGCCACTTGCACTCCAACCTTGCCCTGCTCCAACGCCACCCATAAACAGTGCTGAAAAGACACTGCAAGAGTGCTGGCCCAGAATTGCAATGCGTTTGGCCCCTGCCATGCATTGAGCAGGTACGCTGCAACACTTTACCAAGTCAATTCATCCGGCTGGAATCTAAAGGAGCTGTGCGCCGGTCATGCGAGAACAAGTCCAGACGCATGCCTCTGACACTCTCCACCATGGACGGACGCCGAAACAGCCTGAGCAGACGCAGGTTGTTGCAATCATTATTCGCCCTCATCTGCGGTCCATGCAAACAAGACGTTGGGGTAAACGGTTGCAACACACGAAACACGCTACACCAGTCTTAACATACATCCCGAACAATGGCTACATGCTGTCCTCCCTGCTTAAGCCTCGCCGTGATTGTGCTGCCAAAAAGCAACCAGGACCACAAGCAAAATGTTCCACATGGCTGCAAAGCGTTTAAGCCTCCAACGCCTGGGCACGCCTAACAGCAAAATGCAATGAAGCACCGGAAACCTTACCATTTTTGTCAAACAGAAGGACTACTTGATGCAGCGTTGAATTGCAATACGATTCAGTGATTGCTTCTACTTCTTATATGCGCAAATAACCTATCATTGGTTGTTCTTCATGCTGACTGGAGAATCTAAATGCTCAACATCGTCCCCACAACGCAATCCTCCATTGAGCCACTTTACACTTTGGAAGAATTGACTGTGATGTTTCGGGAATCTCTTTGTTTTTTGTCTTGTTCGACACACTCAAGTCAACCACATCATTGAAATCTGATCTGGAAAAGCACACGACTGCAAGATTTCATTTGTTTGGAAACTGACAAAACTTACGTACAATGCTCGCATTTCTTGATGTCGCTGGAAATAATCGCAAGCCCACAGAGTGATTCCGGAAAAAAATGGTCAATTACTGCCGCCGATATCAAACACGGGGACATATTCAACATTGGGAGGTGGAGGGTCTTTCATGTTGACTCATGTTTGGGATGAACGCAGTACATCACAAGCGAAAATGATTTAGGGCATTCTGAACACATGTGCACACATCCGCACACCAGCCTCAACTTTCAAAACAAATTTTGGAAACCAAACTGGACGCAGCGTGGAAAGCAGCCATGAAACCATGATTGCTGATGAAGAATATATTTGGTCCTGCATGTGACATCGCAAATTTGTTTGCAGAACTTTCAACTACGTGCTGTAATAGGGCATTGGAATTCAAAAAGATCCGAAAACAAAAGCTGAAAACAAAACCAAAAAATCAACAAAATCAGCGCACGGCTGTGTTTTTTCATCAACAGCACGTTGTCAGACATTATTGATCATTCATACATACAACATATGAGGTTCAGTAATTTACATTTACTTGGGACAAATGCGGCACAAATTGCTCCGTTTTTTGAAGCTCCATGGTTAAGCAAATGGATTGGTGTCACAAATACAAATCTCAAATCGGCAATTCGAATCAACGAATGAAACATGGCACAACATGGCACAACACTAACAGCCAACACGGCAACAACGAAATTTGTTGTCCATTGAAGATTTCTGGTGTGATCTCTGAAATTCTGGGGCTGACAAAGGATGGGCCGCATCACGCGGCGTTTGCTTGACGTCTCTGCTTGGCCCCCCATGATGGCAGTCCTCCACGGAGGCGAGGGGGTGGACACGCGTATATGGCTGCATTTTTTTCGCAACGTGTGGCTCGCAGAAACGGATTTAGAGCGTGAAGAACTCCATACCCGCGAGGGTGCCACAGAAACAAAAATTGGTTCTGTATCGTTGGGAGTATTTGACAGTAGTGTGTCGAGTGGCCATCAACTTTGTACTGGTACCTCCCAAATAGGTCTGTTTTGGTTGGGCACATTGACTGAGCGGGCTGCGAGGGTACACGAGCGTTGGCGGGGGTCCCTTGCTGGATTTTCTGCCGCTTGTGTGCTCCGGGGTCCCGGGCCGGGTGACCTTTGGGCGGGTCATCGGGCGAAAATTCGTGGGTCGTGGAATTTCGGTCTTTGGCTGACTAGCCCCAAAGGCCAAAAACTTGCATCAAACACATGCGTTTATGGGTGTCGAGGCCGAAGCTTGCGAAATCATCCTATCCTACCAGCGGTGAGAAAACAACGCGGAGTGGAGCGGGGACATCGTCGTTGAAACGTATGCGCATGGAAAATTGGGTGCTGGAACGTGCGGGATGTTTCCGGGCTTGATTAATGGAAGGGGGAGCACGTCTCCTGACCCGACAGAGCACGACTGTCGAGCACACACGGCGCCACGTGCCCGTGGAAGGGAATCGCCTGTGCAGGCCTATGCGTTGACCATGTTTTGAAGAACGTCATAAACCACTCCGTTTGTGTTGGTAGGTTAGGATTGACGACAGTAGCGTTCATTTAGCCGACACCCTTGCTACGTTTTTTGAGCCGTGGCGTAAGATGAAAATTTTCCGGAGGTGGGCTGCTTGGTTTCTACTGTGGGTTTTTGTTGTTCTGCATGGGTCTTGGGAAGAGGGCAGCTAATCCAAACACCTTACCATCATCATCATCATCATCATCATCACTCTTTGCGTGAAAGGTTCATTGAATTGAGCGCACATCACAAAAATTGTAACTTGAAGGGATTCACATCAAGAAGGAGCTCGAACACGGAACGCGTGTTTGGATGTACATGTGCTCAAGACACGTGAAACAAAAAAAATTACACATGCCAACATCCTTGGTTCCGTGTGGTTGCACTGCTCCTGTCCAAGACCTACCACTACAAGCAGCAGAGTACGCACTTTTTCCTTGGGTTGCTCTGAGTGTAGCTTAACGGAGGGTTTGAAGGCTCCAGGGCTTCAAGCCCAACTGACCTTCCGTTTCGCCCCCCTCTTGTGGTGAAAAAGGTAAAGCTCGAAACCAGATGCTGACCTGAGGTAGGTCAGACTTGGCTTTGTTAAGCACAGTGCGGAGCACCGCGGCCCCAGCAAGGGCTGCAAAAGTCGGCTGGCCAGCGGGCCTGAGCAAGTGTAGCCGGCGGGCTCACACTACTAAGTACAGCTGAGGCGACAGCTGAGGTAGCGCTAAAGGCTCCTTAGTACTCCTGCAGACAGCGGCTGACAGGCTGAAAAGCAAAAGGCTTGTGAAGCAGCTGTAGGCTCACTGCAAGATCCTCTTCACCTGAGAGAGCAAGGCTTGCGGCTTGTTGGAAAGTAGGGATTTGGGAGGCCGGGTAAAAACTTTCCTGTTACGTAGAAAGCGATCTACGCAAAGGCTTGTAGTGGGATAACAGTCTTGGCCTGGGAGCAGTAGTGGCAGCGGGCGAGCACGAGATTCTCAACACACCACAAAACACAAGAAAAAAAGAAAACTCTTAACGTTCTGCGTGGTTGCACTGCTCCTGTCCGAGACCTGTGCCCAAGTCGGCTGCGTGCCATCTGGAGCAAGGCTTATTGCACCAGTGTCTCCAAGCAGGCTACGTATTTCTGGGCGTCCTTATGGAGCTGCGGCCAGAACCGTCCTTGGTGCATAGCCAGCCCCTTTTCCCTGCTGTATCTCCCTCCACCATGGCATCGGCTGCTGAAAGAAAGGCACTGCAGCGGAGCGTCCGAAGACTCCTGAGCTCTTGGAAGAGGAGGAGGAGGCACCAGAGGATGAGGAGGCTGCAGAAGAGGATGCTGTCGGGGAGGCAGAGCAATTGTCCCTATTGGATGAGAAAGAAGGGTGCAGAAGAGTTTTCTGCCCTTGCTGCAGCTCCTGGGTCAAGCTCTCATTTCTTATGAGGCTCTTCGCTGGCAGGGCTACGATCTGAGCGGCACGCCTAAGTCGTGCCATCCACCTGATGGGGCCACTGGCAAACGTTCCTACACCATCCGGTTTGACGACAATCGCATTTCGATTGATGTTTTGCGTAGACAGAGGGCTTTTTTTTGTAAAGAAGCCTCAGAAGCACAAAGGTCATTGGACATGGAATTCCTTTGTGAAAATTTTAGCCCAAATCTTAAGGTCCACTCTACACTAACTAACCCCACTCCAACCTAACCGCAGGCGGCACACTTTTGCTCTGCAGTTGCAGTCTGTCTGGGGTGCGGTTTGAGCCTGATACAACGGAGTGAAACATGCTAACGTATTGGGCTACAAAGGCACATGTACATAATCGAAATGCTTGTTACGCCCTCTTCGACTTGCGTGGTGCTCTTCATCCACCAATGTCGAACTCAAACTGTACATGCGCATAACTCCCACTCGTATCATACTCCAAAGGTTCAAAGTTCCAAGATCTTATCATCAAGACTCAATCATTCAAGGATCGATCATCATACCCGTCTCGGACGGCTTGCGACGACTTGAACGGTCTGATGCAACTTGACTCTCGAAGTCACATCTAAGGCGTTAAGCAACAGAATCAATCCATCACCATGCCATTGATCGACTCAACAAAAGCCTGTTCTGCGCCATGCCCACTTTCAGTCGCCGAAGACTTGAAAGGCCATAATGCCAAAACAGATAAGCAAAATCAACCACTCGAACGATCATGTCATAGATGACTCGACCTCATAACCAAACCAAAGTTCTTCAAACTAAACTTGCGGCTCACTTCTTTTTCACGCGCACGCGGGAAAGGTCTCTAAACCGCTTCCAAAAGTCGAATTGACTCTTCGTTGCGTCCACATCCTTCTCCAAAGAAATGCGGAAATCTACCTTTTCATCGTGCTACGCGAGGCTTGGTGAAACATGCAACTTTATTGCATCTTCGTGAACTTAATCACGGGTTTCTCATCTTTCTTTTAAACAGCTCTACGGCCTAAAGGATCTAATCTTTTCAGTTCAAAGTCGATTCGAATCAATGGAAATGTTTCCATCGGCATCATAGGAATTCGAATCAACTTTCCAAAGCTGAGGATTTTCCTCATCTACTCACTCTTTTGTTCTTCTCTTTCTTTCCTTCCTTCTTTTCAGTTTTCTTTGACTTTCTCTTCTCTTCCTTTTCCTTCTCCTTTCCTGCTTTCTTTGCAGTTCTGCGCTCTTCTTTCTGCTTCAATCTTTCAGCCTCCTTTGCTTTCTCTTCATTTTCCTTGCTGATCCTTTCGGCTTCGGCTG